AAGAAAGAGAAAGATCGATTAATGACGACATAAAAACGAACGAAGATGAAGGATAAAACTGAATAATGAATATGTATACATTCTAAGGTGTGGGTCTGTATTTAGTTCTTCTTTTAACCCACGCCCACACCCCAATGGTACTAACTATTTGAATCTTTTTCATCAGTTGAGAAGGAATCGAAGTATTGTATATTTAAGAATAATTCAAGTGATAATGAGTGTATATGTTTATCATTGGTTCAAAGAATCAAATCGAATTTGATTGAGTAAAAAATGTTTTTCAATGAAAATCTTTACTTAAAATCTTGTGATAGTTTCATTGAAGTGTCGTTCACGATTTCATTTTTTTGATGGCGAGTTCTCCCTGAAGAAGTTATATGAACGAGAAAATAAATTATATTTGCTGCTTGGGTTAGTCGAGAACATATTGTCATCTTGATCCTTGAATGAATTAGTTTCAGATAATGCTTATGATCATGATTAATCATATCGATTTGATCAAAAAAAAAATGGAGTATCTATGATAAGTCAAAGAGTAAGATCAAATAAAAAAGAAAGCATTTAACGAATAAAACGATGAACAAGTAGTGGTACGTGTTTATTCTCATCTATAAAATAATATGAGAATGAAAAACACTTAATCTAATGGCATAGTTTGTAATCTTTTATGAATACTTTCGATCATTTTTTCTCATCTTGCAATTGTTCTTCTGCTGCTGCATACAAATTTGATGCAGAATTCAAATTTAACCTAGCTAAAGTATAATCCTTCATTTCGAGATAAATATCAGCTAATTGAACATAACTATTGACTATTTCTCTTATATTATATAGGATTTCATATTGTCCTTTTATCACTTTTTTCAGTTCATATTTTTCCAAGACAAATTTCTGTGTTTTCAGTTGATATTCAATTTCATGTGAATATTTCTTCAAGTTTTTCAAATAAATTACGGCTATTCTTTCATGAAGACTAAGAAGCCAAGATAAATCTCGTTCAATTTGTTGTAAACATATGTGAATCGCTTTTTCATAGGCTGTTATAGAGTTTTCATAATCATGAGCGGATTCATAGAGTCGACCTAGACGTTCAACGCACATTAGCTTATCGTAGTCGTTATAAGTACTGTCGTTTACCATTTTATTGACAACTTCTTCTTTATATTTTATCGCTTGTAATATGTTTTTGTTTAACTTGTCACTGCCATCAGTCTTCGATAACGCTTCATATATTTCACTTAATCTATTAAGAGAGTCAACGCAATCACAGTTATCTACAGTTGAATTAACCAGAACTACTTCACTGTACTTTATCGACTGATTGCAACTTTCTATAGCAAGTTAATGACAGCAATCTCCGAGTTGGTTATAAAGTTCAGCTATTGTATGGATTGCATCAATGTCAGTGTCATCAAATTGTTTCCATAAATCAATTGCTTCTTTATAACTGTGTATGGCTGACGTATAATCTTCCAATATCCATTCTTGATGACAGCGTATGATATCAAGTTTAACAGCTGATAACCATACGTGCTCGCTGGGAAACAAGTCATTTAGTTTAGTAAAAATGATATTTATGTCCTTTGGTGAAGTTTTGTAGTATAAATATCTTCTTAATCGAATGACGTGATTTTTGAAATTTCGATTTTTATTTTCATACTGAAATTCTATTGATGAATTGTATCTTAACTGCATTTGAATTGTCCAAAATGTCTTGTATGTCACGTCAAGTATTTCGAATTGAGTTCCAGGCATAAATAATACTTCTTCGTCATCCGGTATAGAACTCAGATCTGCAATGTATGCATATGGTCGTGATAACAGACGTGGATCATAACTGATCTCAAATAGTACTTGTCGTGAGTCATATGGATTAGAATATATTTCTGAGACTGATTGGTTGTTAGACGTCAAGAGTAAACTATTGTTAATCACATACGTTGTGTAACGTGAGCACAGACCATCGATTTTTTTTTAAAGCTATCATTTAACTCTTTACAGATATCTTGTAAAAAAATTCCAAATAAAAATATTAATTCAGTATTTTGATGACGAAAGGCTTGGTTCATGATAGAATATAAAAATGAAGGATGAGTATACCATTGTATAGCATTCTTTGATTGATAATCAACTTCAAATTCATTCAATTGACGTAAAAATTTTTCATTACCACTAATCGTTTAAAATAACCTTCTGGATATGGGAAATGGCATATAAAATCAACATCCGTCATCCACCAAGACCCGAAATCATCTGTGGTATTCTCGACTTTATCTATGGGATCGAAAATCTGACGAATTATGAAAGGTTCAGCAGCAGAATATAAATCCTTGATTAGATGCTCAGTATTTCTGTAGACATGTATTATCTAGAAACAAGATATTCTTACACTATTTGTTAACTTACTTAGATAATAGTCGAATATATAATTAGAACTTACTTTTGGATATTTAGCCTGTAGTTCTTGAAAAAAGTTTTTTCATCTTCACAATTAGTAGCATAAATGTACCCTAAGTGAATGCGACTGAAATTGTGAACTTGCGAGAGCAATAATTCAACAGATGTAGCTGAACAGATTAGTAGTGTTGTTATAGTATTTTTTTCAATATATTGACTACATCCTAAGGACGAAACAAAGTCATGTATGTAATCAAATGTTTTTCTTAGCTTTTGACGAAAATCGATGATCGTTGATTGTTCCTTGTTATTATCAACTAACCAGACTAATTGAAGAAATTCAAGTTTCAGTTGTAAATGAGTGAAGAGTAAGTCTGTCTGTTGAAATTTCTCTGTAACTTGTTTAATGTCAAAAGCCATTCAAGATGAAATACTCAGTAGTCTTCTTTTTTTTTCTTTAGTCTAATGAAGATTTTTTTTAACAGAAGAAACACTGAAAGTACTTTTGTTTTATTTCTCTTTTTTTTTTTTTTCTACAAATGTTGGTTTGTGCTGGAGAGAGCAGAGAAGAAAAATGTGTTTTCATTTCTATTGGTTTCCGTGACTTTTTTTCCTCTGAATGCGTTAAAAAAACACTTTAATACAATACAGAATGAACAAACAGAAAAATCGATGATGATCTGTGTAAAATGGTGTATGAGAACAGTTTCACACGTTTTAAAATATTCCTTCTGTTTTACAAAAAACTTTTAGTCGAATGTTTTGCAAGATCTATTAAAATATCCAGACCTTCTATTCTGATAGAAAAAATATTTTCCTTACCTTGCCTATATTTCTCCTATTAAGTATCGTATGTTGCAGTTTTTAACACATCTTCTGCTGAACAAATGTTTCTTTTATGTGAACTGAAAAGCAGAAGAAAAAAGTAAAATAACATGCGGCACTTGTTGATGTGCTTTTTATATGATTGTGGCGAATGAAAGTATCAACATCGACATACAAGCTGCACGAACAGACCAACTAATCAATTGATTTAAATTATTGAACGTTTAGCTTATACTCGCTAATGTTGAGTACATTAAACTTTTACCAGTCTTTCTAGTTTCCTCCATAGGCGGTGGAACGTTTCTAATTTAGGGGAGGTTCAACATTTTAAAATAACGATAGAAAGATGGTAGTAAGAGATAGCGAACTTCAAATTTCGTCGTCACAACTTTCATCAAAAAAAATTTTCTGCATCCATCCATTCGCATACCCGCGCATTGAAAAAAAATGGTACAATACTGAACCATTTGAGGGTTTCATGATTGCTATGAAACCTAAAACAGTATTTGAGAAGCCTAGAAAGATTCTGGCTTTTGAAACAAATCCTATACCGTTTTAGGTTTCGTACACAAAATTACGAAAGCTTTGAAAATGCTTTTCCGACCACTCATAATTATTTTGAGGGTATCTTAGGTTTTTTACGGAACTTTTTTTGGATTTAGATTTTTGAAAAAAAATGGTTCGATCTGACTCCTTATTGTTTTGCAGTGCATGAACCGATCGGTAGGATATTTAATCTAGTTGAAAAATCATGCTGCGAAGCCAGGGTGTGGGTGTTCGTTTTTAATTCATTCACACTCACACCCACATCCAAAACTTCATAGCATCTTAAGAACGATATTTTAGTAAAATAACAGAAACGTTCTACATCTAAAATCATTTTCTGAAAAAAACATACATTGTTCCGACAGAAGAGGTAAGATTCTCAATAATTTCTCAGATCTAAACAAGAATTGACATTATCGATCTCTAAATTTTATTCTTTAAAATTTTTCAAAAATAGATAAATTGTATTATTTTTACACTAGCAGTTATTGTTAGAATAGTGATTATGAATCATTTTTCTATTATCTACTAGAACAAAATGAATTCAATTTTATTTCATCTTTTGGTAATTATTGAAAAGATAACAAAAGCTACATCAATATGTTTCACAAAATTTTTATTTATCTTGATGTAAGAAAAAAAAACAGGATACGAATAAAATTCTTCGAAAATTGATGATTCGTATCATTGTGATAAAAGAAGAATGCCATACATCAATTTTTCGTCTGCATTATAATTATTTTTTCAACGAAAAATATCATTTTACACTTTCATATATCACAATAACATATAATAATCATCATTTTTCCAAGACAAAAAGAACTTATTGACATTTTTGGATGGCTTCGTCCAATGTATTTTTGATTAGTTCTAATGAAAATGCACCTTGAATCGGTTAACCAATACAACTAAACTTCTTAATATGATCAATAATATAAAATCGAATTGGCCATGGACTATAAACTTCACTAAATGGATTATTTTTTGATATGGATCAATTAATAGTGGAATTCGATCGTTATTATGTTTTGGTTGAACATCACATATTGGACTACCAATTGGCCTATTTTATTCAATATAAAAATGAATCCGAAAAGAAATCATTTTCTCTCATTAACTTTCCATTCATCGACTGCATGAGCTTCTTCAATATAGGCAGTAATCATATAAACACGATCTTGATAAAAATCCATTAGTTGATTAAGTTGTGGTACAAAATCACGAAATGGTGGTCAAGTGTATGAACCAGCAATAATTAATAATGGACGATTTAAATGACAATAAGATAATAATGAAACGAATTCACCATTCATATTTAATAATTGAATATTAACTATTGAATCACCAATATGAAGATTTCCTAGTTTTGCATGATTATGTCGAACACAAAGAGATAAATCATGAAATTCATTATCATTTGAATATAATTGCTGAGCAGTACGGCATATTCTGGAACATAAATAAAATATTCACATATAAATTTAGATTATCTATTAAATCCGCTCGATCATTATTTTTAATCAAAAATGATATGAGATTTCAGAATATAGAAACAAATTATTCATCGATTTCAACTTTCAATGGTCGAAGTAGATACATAGCTGTTCATTATTGAAGTCTAGTGAGAGTTCGAAAATCTTTATCTTCGATTTCAGATAACTAACAATACTTGTTTGAAAATAAAATGTTTCGCTTTTTTTCAATATAAAAATCGGTCATTCACGTTCTGTGAAATGATGAGCAGAAAAACAATACTAATGTCAGATGAAACCACCTATGAGTTTAGCTTAAGACAAACTAGATCGTCTTAAAAGCAAATCAGAAAGATTATAATACGTATCCCATCATATTTATAGCAACAAACTTTATTTAGGGTGTTGGTGTGGGTGGATTAAAGATGGTCTTGTCATCATACCCACATCCCACATCCACACCCACCCCATACCCCCACCTCGCCCACACCACCACCCACGCCCACACCCCAAAATAATCAATCAATATCGATAGTGATATCAATGATTTGTTCAATAGTATTTTGGATGGAATTCGATCTGAAGTTGTTAGTTCAGCTGAACAAACTTACGGACTTATTCCGGACGGTAAAGATATTCCAATCATGGGTTCTAATTTTAAAAATACTGTAGAAGTTATCGAAATTATTGTCTACATGAATTTCATCGACAAGATTTATATAGTGTCGTTCCAGGTTATTTCTTAAGTTTATTTACAGCTAGAGAACTCGAAGAAGTCGTATGTGGACAGGCTAAAATAGATATAGAATTATTAAAACAGCATATAATCTATGGTGGTCGTTATAATTCAGATTCACTATGTATTCAACGATTTTGGACAGTTCTTGCTGAGATGTTCGATGAAGAACAACAGAAACTGTTTTTAAATTTTTTTGGGGACAATGTGGGTTATCAAGTTGTCATGATGATTTTAAATCAGAATTTCGCATCGATTCATATGATGCCTCAAATGTATTGGTAGATGAAATACTTCCATCTAAATAGAATCCTGATATTCATAATTTCTATGATATGATGGTATTTTGAGAAAGAGTAACTTTACAATTATCTACTTAGAATAAGAAAAGCTATAGAAGAGGATGGAAAAAACGTATTGCAGTCAGATGATCGAAAAATCATCAGACACTCTTGAATCATCCATAAATCTTGATTGTTCTTAAATTACTTTGTACAATAAGCTTCTTTTTATCTTGTTTTTGTTGTAGAATTTCATACATGTAGTTTCGTTCTTGAGCTATCTGAATATTCATTGACTGATATCATGTATAATCGCTTGAACAATGCTATTACTTATTATACAAGCATTGACGGAGACAGCAGCATGAATGAAGCTTCTACTCCAAATGATTTGGATTTTGATTGAAGTGAAGATGATTAACAATAATATTCATTCTGACAGTATTTCCTGTATCTCCCAAAACGCTATATCTTATTTACTTGATATATTGATTGTTTGTTTTGTTTTGATGGATCACTCTACATTTTTCTTAAATCTGATTATTAAAAAAAAGGAACTTTTTAAAAAAAATTTATGATGAAGAGATATCAGCCTGACTTTCATATTCGTATATTGACGAGCTGCACTTGCGATACTCTCTTGTCTTTTAGCATCATCTTAGTGTTCCTGATAGTCCTCAACGAATATTTCGTTTTCCTCTTCGTACGAATATGGATGTTCATATTTGTAAGAATTCTATGCTCACAAGCTGCACATCTGCATCAACATCCGCATCCATACTCTACTATTCAGAAGAATACATAAAAATATGACTTCGATTATCGAAGCCATGTCGAGCAGCATTGATGATGCTGATCGGTGGTCAATTAAGTTTGTCTTATCTGTCGTCTTGTCGGATCGAATCTTTCCAGTAAAAAAAGTAGCCTGACAGAAGTTCATTTCTTAAAACCGTTCGATTCCTCATGAACAACTATCTGTGAGAATTGGCTTTTTCATTGAAAATTCAAGTTCTATCTAGACAACACAGTGAGTTATGTGCCAATTTCATTTTTTTTCTGACGATGATTAGCTTCTCAGTCTCTCTAGGTGCCTAGGTTTGAATGAACCAATTCTTTTTATTTTTATTTTTTCAAGGCACATCAGTAAATGAAGGCAATATGAGTCATTTTGTTCTGCACTTGTTAGTAAGCATTCTATTACGGTCTTCTCAATATTTTCAAAGTCTGAAGTTGACAGGGAAAATATTGGATGTAGGAAAAAAAAATTTATTTCTCTAGAATGTGAACATGCAAAATCAAACGTCTATTTCACCTTTTAAATAGGTAACTGCTTTGCCCGACATGAGCACCCTATCACCTTGATTTTCGCACCAAAGTTCTCCTTTACGTGCCGAAATCTGGTAAGCATGCAGCTGATTTTTACCCAACCGTTCACCCCAATAAGGGATTAGACTGCAATGTGCTGAACCAGTAACAGGATCTTCAGGAACGCCGGCACTGGGCGCAAAAAACCTCGAAACAAAATCAACTTCATCACCAGGAGCAGTAGCAATCACACCAAAAACGCTATCAATTTTAACTAACGCCATAAAATCCGGCGACAATTGTTTAACATCAGCCTCTTTTTCATAAACGAGCATATGATCTCTCGCTTTATAAACTTCGATGGGAGTTACATTGCTGCATAGCGCTGACAACAATCCATCAGGTAAATCGACTTTTGCTGCTGGCCGGGCTGGAAAATCAAGGGTATATAAAGCATCCTCCTTTTGGCGGATTACTCTCAGTTCACCAGCTTTCTTGGTCAGAAAGTTGATTTCTGCATTCATTGAAGACATTTCAGTGAAAATGATATGTGCAGCCGCTAATGTCGCATGGCCGCAAAGATCCATTTCCAGTTCGGGTGTAAACCACCGAAGTTCATATCCGTCGTTATTGGAATTTGGCACGAAAAAAGCTGTTTCTGCGAGATTGTTTTCAGCAGCAATTTGTTGCATCAATGAATCTGGTAACCACTTGTCTAATGGGCATACCGCCGCCGGGTTGCCACCAAATAACTTATCGGTAAAGGCATCGACCTGATATATTTTAATTTTCATAACTGTAATTAATTATGCTATTTTTCAATATTATTTACTACAATTGTATTGCACCAGCTCCACTTTCTTATCAATAACCAACAAATCTAAGAATTAGGAAAAACTCTGTTGTCCTATACCCAACATCGACAACCTAAATCGTGTCAAAGTTAAAACATGGCTTTCTCCTTGGTCAATTGCAAAACTGTTTACTATTTCCTACTCAATATATTTCAGCGTCGATTATTGTTGTCTAACAGTTTGCTTCAAAATAACTTACGAATTGATTAGTTCATAAGGTCTTTTTTCATTACTTCTAATGTTCACTCGGAGTCGAAGAAATCTTTATAAAAGCAAAATTGCCAGAGCACAACAAGTTTTTATCTTATTGCAAGTTTGTAAACAGATACTTTTTTCAAAGTTATTCTTAAACTTACTTGATTCAAGCAACAGATATGGGCGTATGGTGTGAGCTTGTATAAAAAGAAAGAAAAAAAGAAAAGCCCAAATGCATGATGTGATAACGTATATCGTATCACAGATGCACATTATCAACAAAGGAACTTATAGAAATTGATAACGTTTCTCATTTCTTTGTCGCTCAAGGTTGTTCTTCATTTCATATAACCTATATATTTACTTAGATATGTGAACAGTTGGTATTCTCTCTCATACTTTCTTATAAGTGAAAAAAAGATGACGAATGCTGATGCGAGATCGAATGAAGAGAGCATGCACACTTCAACGGGCCATTCGGGTGACCGGACTTTTTGTTGCAAGACAAATCGTTGCGGACAAATCGTTGCAGACAAATCGTTGCAAGGACATTTCGTTGCAGGACAATTCGTTGTAGGAAAATTAGTCGCGGACATATCGTTGTGGACAATTCGTTGCGGACAAATCGTTGTAAAAAAGTCGTCGCATGGACAAAACGTCGAGGGACAAATAGTTGCACGGACAAAACGTTGTAGGGACAAATAGTTGCACGGACAAAACGTTGTAGGGACAAATAGTCGTATGGACAAAACGTGGTAATAGTCTATAATTTGCTGTATACAATATTTGAAAAATGTCAGTGCCAATGTGATAGTTTAAAAATTATTTACTAGGTTTCTTTCCTCTGCATTTTTATATGTAGAACCCTTCCTTCTTTTTATATGTTCTGTGTACGTTTTATTTCACTTTTTTTTTCTCTCTCTCTTCTCATTTCTGGTACTGTTAGGATCTTAGGATCACAGTTATTGCATAATTAAAAAAAAAATTATTTACTAAATTTTTGTAGACAATGATTGGTTGATTCGTTGTTATACTTCTAGAATAATAAATATTTCAAAAGAATGGAATAGTTGACATATTGGAAAATGAAAACTGAATTTCTTATCTATTATTGTAGAATATAAAATTTGACGATTGCAAGGTTTTGTCCATGCGACTATTTGTCCCTACAACGTTTTGTCCTGCAACGTTTTGTCCCTACAACGTTTTGTCCTGCAACGTTTTGTCCTTGCAACGTTTTGTCCGTGCAACTATTTGTCCGCAACGTTTTGTCCGCAACGATTTGTCCGCAACAATATGTCCGCGGCTAATTTTCCTACAACGATTTGTCCTGCAACGAAATGTCCTTGCAACGATTTGTCTGCAACGATTTGTCCGCAACAATTTGTCCTGCAACGAAAAGTCCTAGAACCGCCATTCGATAAGCATTTTGACATGTCGATTTCAGCTGCTAGGGTGTGAGTGGTGTGGGTGTGGAGCGGGGGTATGGTGGGTGTGGGTCTGGGGTTTGAGTGGGTGTACGTATCTAACCAATGGTACACCCACACTTACACCCACATCCACACCGACCCCCATACCCACACCTACACCCCACACCCCACACCCCACACCCTATATATTTCCTTTGGTCTGATGGTTGTATTCTAAACAAGCTGCATGGTTTGTGCTGACTATCCACTGCTTAGAATCGATGATTAAGAAAACAAAACTCCAACACTCCCTAAAATACAAGTTGGATCTTTCGCTGGAGCCTAACAATTTTAGAAGTACTCTGAAAATCATTTAGCACAATTGTTCAAAGGGTGATTGCAACCGTATCAAAAAGTGTGAGAACAGAAATTATAGAAAACATTTTGATGAATGAGGAAAAAAGATTCTTCAGCGCCGATTTCGATCAGAAAATTTCATACTATGTTGAGAATACGTTGATTGGATGAAAAATCGATGGTTTCTAAGTTAGGTTAGTTTCTGCATTCAAGAATGTTTTGGTTGTGCTTGATCTACAAGGACCAAAAATCAATATCTGGCGTTGAAGCGCTTAAACAGTATCAGTAATAAATTTTGGCGGTAAAACTCACTCACGCGATCGCATTAACCAGTTGCCAGTAAGAAAATCGGTTTCCCCTGTTGCAAAAGATTGCCAAAGTGGCAAAACACGTTTAAACGGCAATAAAAGGTACTTCTTGTCTACTACAACTGTTTTAACGGGTGTTTTTCTGTTCGACAACTGACTGGACAGTTTTCTCTGTTCTGTCGCTAGGTAAGATTGAAAATACCATACGAGGATAATCCTCTAGCAAGACATGAAAGATTCAGAGATAATTAAGTCGTCTTCATCAACAAATTTTATTACTTCACAAGGAAAATTTATTGCACGAAACTCTTTGGACTTCGTCTGCTTAGAGTTTGATACAATTTTCAAATGTCGTGCTAGTTAATCGATATGGTTTTCGAGTAGCATCATCGTGATTCATTAACTTGATATGGACTTAGATACGTATCATAAACACGTGTCTAGGTAGTCATTTTCGATTGTGCAATAAAGTTTTTGGAGGTTGTCAGTGTCGCATACCAATGTTGAATATATTCCAGTGCTGTGCGATGTCTTTCCTCACTTCGGCAGCCGAGACAATCGACCCAAATAAAAATCTTATGACCGTGAAAGAAGGCATCTGTAACCGTCGCTTGAACACAACGATTGGTCAGAAGACCACATACATGAACTTCTTGCACTTCCTTCAACACATCGGCCAGGGTTGTATCTGTGAATGCCGAATAATAAGTTTTGCAAATAACTTGATCTTGTTCCTCGTTCAATATTGAGCAAACATCATCAGCGAAGTTTGCTCCATCTGTGCCAGGCATACACAATGGAAAGGCATGGTGTGTGTCGGATAGGATAGCATTATTCATTGGCACATCCTCAAATTGTTGGCCCTCTGGGCGAATAAGGTGTTTCGGTTCAGATTTAAGCTTCGAAAAGTCCGATTTTATCCATATAACAGTACCATTCTGTTCGCGAAATGAAGGTAGAGCAGTTCGTAAGTTGGATATAATATGGTCGGCTTTGACGTGCGTTTCTTTGAATGGGCCTTCTGGAGAAATGAAATCTTGTTGAAGATCAATTATCAATAATGCTTTCCTAGTTTGCATCACTTTCATATAAACGGTCGAATCTGAAATTCTTTTATCTAGAATCATTCAAAGTGATGACCAACAGCTCACACTATATGTGACGGCACTTCTACAAAATACGCACCGCCTCACCCACACTATTTGAATCAGATACGTATTTTTGTGGCAAACGTTGATGTGGTGAAAGCGGTGCATATTCTTTAGAAATACTGTCCATCGGTAGTCGCTAAGGGCATTTCTACACTAGAGAAATAAAACCACTTTATCTCTGTTTTAAAGCATCACCTGTCTACACACAGCGACTTAATTTGTCAATTGAGACGAGGCATGTGCCTGTATGCTGTCGCTGAAAGGCGTAGCAGAAACGAATGACGTCGCTATTATACTTTTCTATTTCTTAATTCTTCTAGATCAATCTGTATGGTGCGTTTGAAAAAACCAAATACATCGTTTAAATAAGATTCTTCACACTTGAGTATCACCCACGTAAAACAATTTTCTCAAAAATCACCAAATAATCGATTATTAATCGATTTTAGAGTGTGAGCGGATGTGTGGGTGTGAGTCTTCTTCACCCACACCCACACCCTCTTTCTCTTTTTCTTCTTGTGCTTTTCTTCAACTTCGTCTGATTCGAATGAAACTGTTGAGGACGTTGAACTACTAGATGAAGATTTTCTTTCATGAACTTCTTCAGTAACTGTTTTTGGTTGTGAAACCATTGGTTGTGGTGGTGATGGTGAACGTGAAGACGATCATTGTGATGATGATGATGATGATGATGCACGTGACGACGGTGAACGTCGTAATGATGAATGTGGTACGGTAATTGGATCTTCCAGTATTTCAGTAGTTTTAATATCATCTGATAGATGTTTTCTTGTAGCTGGAACTGAAGGTGTTTGATCTTCTTCTGAGCGTCTTTCACCACTGGCAACACCATCATCAAAAAATGAATCTCTATTACTACCCATTGTGTTCAATATAATAAGACCATATGTTACTTTTACTCTTCTTATTCTTCTCGACAAACGATATGCATTGTATTGTTAAAGACAAAATTTATAACGACAACTATTCTTTTTCTTCTTCCTCATGACAGAGAATAGGTAAGACGACGAACAAAGAGAAAAAGAAATTGTTGAGAAGAGCAAACAACATCAAAAATCGTCATGTGCGATAGAGAAAAGACACGAAAGAAAAAGAGAAAGAAAGAAATACACTCAGAGTTCTTGATGAAGTATAAAAACATACAAGATGAAAAAATATGTTCGTTACTTAAAGTTTTAAGAACGATTTACTTTTTCGGTTACACTTCATATTCCTTTTTTTTTTGATATTTTAAATCGAACTTTCAACATTCAACTTTTCTTGTGATAATTGTTCATCTCTATTTATTTTACACTTATCGATTACAAATAAATATTTACCATTTAGAATCAAAAGTTTATTTAGTAGCTCCGAAAATGATTTGAACAGGTTTATTTTCAATGTTTTTCTACTATAGTGTTGAGTGCCATCTCAAACAAGAATTTTGTAAGCTGGAAGAGATCGCTAGTTCTCTAAAGATAGAGTCTTTGAAAAACCGAAGCCCAACTTTTTTCTGAGCTACTTCGAATAATAGAGTAAACAATACTCTTCAAAATAGAGTGTCTTCCAGCTTTTTGAGAAATTTTTTAGACGAGATGCATCAATTTTATGAACGGCACGAAAATGGTATTTCTAGATGAGATAGCAAAAAACGTCGTAGAGATCGGAAAGCGTTTTAGTTTGTAGAAAACGGTTTGATCTATGATTCTGAATGATTCAAATGGATTTTCGGGTGAGGAAAACCTTGAGTTTTGGCTTTTTCAAAGATGTTGTTCTTGCTAAACTAGGGATGCCTTTCATCTTAGAAAATTCTTGTTGGAAATAAAACTACAAAAAGCACTGTGTGAATTCTTATCAGTATAGACAGTGGTGGAAAAAATTGAGAAGAAGTCTCATTGAAGAATTTTGAGAACTACTGTATGTGAAATATTCAAGATATTTATGACTTTGAAGTCGATCTTGTATTTAGTTTAGCGCTGAATTTTTGTCATGTTTCTGATGATTAAAATCTAGTATAACAATACTTTCATTATTATTGACTGAATAAAAAACCATTTTTTTATACTCAAAATAAGATATTTTGTATAACTAACATTTTCTCTTATTATGAGCCGCTATTTATTTTACTTACTGTAATATTTCAATGAGAAGAGTTGACTGGATAAATGTACCTTTTTGGTGTAGGTGTGGATGGGTGTGGGTCTTCTTTTACTGCAGACTCACATCCACACCCACCCACACCCCACACCCACTCACACCCCACACCTACACACACCCACACCCGCCCCAAATCCTAGCTTTCTATGATATACCTTGATATATATCAAATTTTAATGAAATTAGATGTAATACGAGGAAAAAGTCCCGAGGCAATGATTCATTTATAGACTTGGTCTAGTCTCGATAGGTTCTATCTAATAACGACAGTCTCATCTTAAAACGTTCTATTACTTGAAAAGGTTTCCTCATGATTTAGGACAATCAGTGCACCGCGCTTCAAAATCGAAATTGTGTGTAGTTGGAATCAAGATTTTTCAATAGTTATAATCAATTCACGAATCATATTTTAAGATTTTAATCACAACTATAAAAAACGACGCACGATTAAAATCGAATTGAAATTGATCAAGTTACGATGTTTTCATCGATTAAAATTGGTTTTTAATCAATTTTAATCAAAATTAACAATCCGTTTGCTCTGCAACAAAATCAAAATTAAAATCGATTATAATCAGAAATTTTCAATCGGTTATAATCAGATGGCGATTGATTATAATTGCGATTCCAGTTTTCTGATTATAATCGATTTTAATTTTGATTTTGTTGCAGAATAATTGGATTGATAATTTTCATCAATTTTAATCACTAAAATGTTTCACTAGGTGTTTTACTCGTTGCTTACAGATTTTCACCAATTCGGACAAGTTTTATTGATGACCTACGAATATGTTTGGTTCTCGTTTACTGACTCGTGCCCACAGACCGTATTTGGGCCGCATTGTGATGCGAAGCTCCGGCTCTACTCGTTGCCCCGGCTTCAATTCGAAATGGCATCGTTTCAGCAGCATAGCCAAAATAACTTTTGCTTCCAGCAAGGCGAAATTCTGTCCGATACAGTTGCGCGGTCCGGCAGCGAATGGCAAATAACAGAACGGATGAGCCAATTTCGCTTTTTGACCAGTGACAGGATCGCGCATCCAACGTGTGTAATCAAACTCGAGTGGTCGCGGCCAAAATTCTTCTTGGCGGTGAAGCACATACGTATTGATAACGACGGTCGTGTTCACAGGGATACGCAATTGACGACGACCTTCACTGCCGATGGTGTGTTCACGAATGCATTGTCGTGCAAAGACAGGCGCCGGGGGGTAGAGACGAAGCGTTTCTTGCAAGACAGCTTCGCACACAACCAAGTTGCTGATGTGCTCATAGGTCGGATCCATGTTGTCGGGAAGAACTCGATCGACTTCATCGCGACACGCACACAACACCTGCTCGTTGGTCATCAGCACGTAGAGAGTCCAGCTTAGGAGATTTCCGGTTGTCTCGTGACCGGCCAGCACGAAAGCCAAAGCTTCGTCTTTAATTTCTTCGTCGCTGAATGGTCGACCGTGTGAGTCGACTGCAGCGAGAAGTAGATCAAGAAGATCAGGTCCCGAGCATAAACTTTTCGAACGACCTTCTCGTCGATCAGAAATAATCTGATTAACGAAATGAGCCATTTCGCGAGAACCTTTGTCGATGATGTTCTTGCGCCAGAATGGTAATTCGGCCAGCAAAGGAATGAGGTTGATCATGCGCATCGTCCGATATTCGACCGCTTCGAGAGTCACAGTGAACGCTCGACCGGCGATGTCTTTAGCGTTAGCGATCGTTTCGAAACCTTTTCCAAAGGCGCACGATGCAATAACTGTCAGTGTCAGAGCACTGAATTCTGTCTGTAAATCGACAGATCGTTGATCGACCGAGGCAAAAAGTTCGTTGATCATCTTTCTTGTCTGATCGATCATGATCGAGACCATCGATTGAAGATTGACAAAATGAAAAGCTGGATTGAGCATCTTCCGTGATCTTTCATGTTCTTCCCCTTCACTCACCAGAAGATTGTGTGCGCCAATGATTGGTTTGAAGACCGTACTATTCAGCGCCGTTTTCTCATAGTTCTGAGCGTTTGACCGGCTAAGAATATCAGCGATCAGATCAGGCTCGAGCATGACAAGGCGTGTCAATGGGCCAAAACCCATGAGATAGACATGACCATGTTTTTCAGCGAGCTTCCCGTAATAAGCCATGTACTGACCGCTGGCTCGAGCGCGATTGATTTCAAACAGTTGACCAATGAAGGGCACAAATCGTTCACCGGGGACGCATTGACGACGAAATTCATCGTAGAGGCGTTTTTCAGGTCGCACTAATTTCCAGTAGACAATCAAAGCTATTGCCAACACGATACTCGCAAATGTCGATAAAAACAGCAGTGTAATCATTCTGGGTCCTTGTACGAGGAGAGATAGTATTACAGCGTGTATCGACCGTTTGTAAGGAGACAAAAGGAATGAAGGTATACACTAAGATATTCTTTCTATTTCTGTCAAGGAGCCATTTTGGGGGTCGTAAAGAGAACAGTGTCAGCTTGTATTCATATCTTTGAGAGCAAAACTCGGTGTACAGCGCACACTCATCTTTGTTATCATGTAATCAGAGCTGCATGTATAATCATAAACGAATCAAAAGGGCCACTTGAGCAAATACATTGTCACGAACGAATCAGTCTCTTTCGATGAGTCGCACATCGTGCGAGAGAGAATAGAAAGATTTCTAGTGCGATCGAATGTTTGCGCCAATCATTCATTAATTATCATCAGTTTGAGTTAGATTGGAACGCTTTATCTCACTGCCCTACCCGATGTACAGATTTCAAGTACTTGATTACTTCTTCAAGCTTTACCAAGTGCTTGGACAAATACTTGGCACCTGCAATGTAGAAAGTATATGGGGCACTAAAAAAGTTTTGTCGTCCGTCCTTTACGAAAATATTTCAAGCCAGGTTTTAATTTTGTTTTTTACGGTATCGCCCTGCTACGCAATGCACAGATCCATTTATTTATACAACGTCACTATACTGGGTTTTAAGAGCGTCTTCTGTAAGATGGATAATGGCTCGTTTTAAGATATGTAAGGTTGTGTTGTCATGGTTGAATCATATTTTGTGTACTTCATAATCTGGTTGTGAAAAGAGAAATAGTTAGAGAAGATGAGATCTATACAACGTAATAAATTTTGACATGCTTCTACATTATCATGTTCAGTCAAGTATTCGCCGATATCCCAGTCTTTTCATGATCTGACACTTTGATATGAAGAATTTATGATTGAAAGAGAGGTCTTTTATTTCTCTTCCAACTCAGTTTGGAAACTTGCACTGGACAGCTATAGAGAAGCGAACCTCAGAACACTAAATCATAGTGACATGGATTTGATTGAATCAGATTAAATGATGAAAATTTTATATCATTTGTTTGTGTGACCTCGTGCTAGTCCATTAAGAAAAGCTTGTTAGCGCAGCCCCTTTGTGGCTGAAATGTAAAGCATACATATGCTTCCTAACCTCATTAAACTAACACAAAATACATAAAAATGAAAAATCTCTTGTATGCTGATGTTCGGCAGAATAATCAATGACTATACTAAGCACCTCTGTAAATTTTGCATTTCGAACAGAGTTTTTCATTACTTTTCAAGATTATCAGTTGATTAATTTGAAAAAAACTTAAGAAATCTGGTGCCTGTTTTCTTCAGTTGTTAAAGTTTGGAATGCGGGGTTGTATGTAATGGGAAGCTGTCTGTAATGAGAGGAGAGCTACAAAACTTCGACTTAAAACGTACACGCACTATTTTCTTCGAAAGTATATGTGAGTTCCACAAAATAGAGACTCCATGAAATATACAGCTGCTTTCGGTCATCAACGAGCAGAAAACGCTCTTGTCGAGCACGGAACCCTGTAGAACTTTATATTACAGAAAGATAATTGAAATAACCACTGATGAAATGATGGCTAGACTGTCAGCTATGTATTTCAATGTTTAGTGAAAATCATCTTCGATTGTTGTCGTAACAGCATCAAAAGTTTCATCGGCTATAGTAGTCCGAAGGCAATCTGAATGGGGCACAACTTCAATGCTGAAATTACCTTGCCAAAATTAATGAAACGAACTGATGAATGTGTCTTCAGAAAGTGTTAACTCGGTCCATACTTCTGTGAAACGGGCACGACTTTCCTTGCATGCTAAGCCAATATTCCTATCACACAAAATCATGCTGTGAAAATGCTCTTGTGAGAGTTCACAAGTTATGTTGAAAATAGTGGTGCGTGACCTTCAACAAATCGTTCGACTTAAATTTCGGCTTCCATGAGAACTGGATGAAAAAAACTTTTGTAGTGCCCTATGTACTTGAATAACGTTGAAGACCACCATCCTCCACGCCCCCTCTTCCTCAAAACAAAAATATTCGATCACTCTTCTGAAAGCATTATCTTCACCATATTACATTCTGTTGTGCTGAAACTTGGCGAACATCTGGAGAATAGCTCACCCTCATATCACCCAAAACTTTTAGCTTCATTCCTGTTCAAAGCTCAGATATAAAACAATTTTACGATGCGTGTCGTCATTCCTCCGTATCTCCAGCGTTACTCAATTTCTTCCCGAGGTAGACGATTTTTTTATCATCTGAAAGAGGAGACTGGAGAGTAGAGACTCTCGTGCCCTTTTTTCAAAATAGGTTTTAGTTAAAGAATAAAAATGTTTCCATTATAAAACTTCCTTGTTTTTTCATAGAATTTTGACTTGATATATGCCTTCAAAGAGACAATATAGAAGAAAATCCAAAAAAGGACCGCGATAGTCGCTAGCCCCAAATCTCCTCTTTCAGATGATAAAAAAAATCGTCTATCTCATGAAAGAATTGAGTAACGCTGGGTGTGTTGTGGGGTGTGTGGGTGCTGTGGAAGAGAAGATAAACACTCACACCCACACCGTCCGACAACCACATGCGTCGCTACAGACACATGCATACCCCACACCCGCACGCAAAACGCATCTCAAGTTTCGAATAATCATATCGAGTTGACTACTGTTTCTATAGATTACGTCAAATGATTTAGTATCGTCAACATCAATCTTGAAACCGGATTTATCCCGCAGGTTGACACTATAGCTACTATTGAGAACAATTACGAACAAGAATAAAACAAGACTGAACAAGATTTCCTAGAAAAAATTGTACGAAAGTGTATAAAACGAGAATAGTTTTTCTTTGATTGAGGATACCTCTGTTTACATCGAAAACACGAAATATCTTCAGCTTTTCGTCTAAAATTCAGCCAAACGGTCATCACTGATGCTCTTAGTTTGTGAGAATAAAATACAGCTGTATGTCCTTCATTAGAGCGTACTTTGTTCTGCGCAAGGAATAAAAACACAAGGTCATTGTAAGCGTTAAGTTACACAGGATTGCGAAGAAAAAATCAAACATTTTATTAATGAAAAAGAGTAGGTGATGAGAATCAAATTGGATTTTTGATATTTTTCCATTCTAGATGCGGCACATGATACAGACAAGATGGTACATCCGCTCTTTTCCTACTTCTCAATGGAGCTTCATGAGACAGAAATAGGTTTCTTTGAAAAAGTCTTCCTTTGACTCCCTACCGGAGCATAACTTGTGTAATTTGAATTCAAATACAAATGAGTCTTGAAAAATGCAGCACTGATTCGAAGACAAATATAAAAAAAATGAAAACCGACGTATTTATGTACTAAGATGAAATGGAAAAGACATATTGGTCTTTTATTAGTATCGGAATTGACCTAGATCATGTAATGATAATAACTGATTGTGCTCAGCTGGGAAAGATTATTTTTTGAAAAAAAAGAATGAAATCGACAGAGCTGATCTAGAGCTACTTGTAACCAGTACCAACTGACTTGGAGCGTGTAGGTGTGGATTTGGGTGTGTGGGTAAGTGCTTACGTGAATATCAACACTCACACCCTCCCAGTGGAAAAGTCATTGGAACTGGCGTCAAATATAGCTATTATGATTGAAGTATAAGATCAGTGGTGTCAACCCTGAAACTTGAATTATATTATTGATGTCATCTCAGATATTCAAATATTCAATTTTTTTGCATGTGCTTTGTGATTCTCTCATGAAGTGAGAAGCCTTATGTGTGTAATTCGTGAATAGTTGAATATCTGAAGTGACTTCAATAATTGAATTCAAGTTTCAGGTTTGATATATGTGATCAATCAACGACATTTATAATTCGAATTTTTTCTACATAAAGTGCGTTAAGGTTCAGTGATTATTGTTCAAAATTGTTTCGATCATGCAGATCAACTTGAAGCTGCAGTTCAATCTCTTCACCCGTTTGAGCATTACCATCATTATTATTTGTCATCTTATGTGAGTCCTAATTAATAACAAAGAAAAAAGAATCGAATCATTTTGCTTAGACAACAAATAGTTACTTCAAGATTTTTCAAGAGTACAGCGACAACAATATTGACAAGTACCAGCTGAGTTATGAGAACAAAGATAACAAAATAAATAGGTGAAATCATTGTCATCAACTTATTTTCTCCAGTAACAGATGAATCATCTTGACGTAAAGTGTCCTTGAACAGTGTATTTATGATTAAAAAAAACAAAGTCTAATGTTTTCTTTTTTCGTTTACTTACTCTCATAATATCATCCCAATTATCATCTGTTGCTATGCAAAATAATGTAAGTAGAGCTATACCAAAATTTTTAAAATTTGCATGTTTATTGAGACCACGACATGGTTCTTCTTGACTACATTCTAATTTTCCAAATAATTCAACACCCATTATAGCAAAGATAAAGAATAGAAGAAACAATAGAAGACCCTCAATTTCAAAAAATAAAAAGAATAAAGTAACCTCTTCAAAAGCACTAGAATAACTTGATTTACCAAATTTCTAACTCGTGGAAGCGTTTCACGAACTATATTTAATAGAGATCGAATACCTTTGACCATCTTCAGTAGTTTGAGAACTGAATTATAAAAGAAAATATTTTTTATTTAACTATTCTGTTCATTTACCTCGTGCAATTCTCACTACCCTGACCACACGAATAAGTGATGCATTTATTGAAAAAATATTTCCACTCATCATATTTTCTAATACAATATCAGCTATTAATGCAAGTAAAAGAAATGAATCCAACAGATTCCACCTTGAAACATTATCCAATAAAAAGAAAAATTTCAAATTTAGATTTTTCTTACTTGTCTTGAAAATAATATGATGGTCCGAGTGCAACAATTTTCAATATAAATTCAAGTAAGAATATAATCGTAAATACATAATTACAATATTCAAGAAATCTATCCAAAATCTAAAAACAAAATGTTTTGACAATAGAGATATGTAATGAATTATTTTAACTTTTTTCTTACAACTGGCATAAGATAAAATTCAAATGATATTGTAACAACATAGATACCAGTAATAGCAGCAATAATTAAATCAAAATATTTACTAACGCATATATCATGTAAACGTTTACGCCATGGTGAAAAATGTGCATAGTACGGTAATTCGCTCATAGGATGTTTTTGACGTTCAATAATTTTTGTTTGTTTTCTTAGTTTTCGTGCTTCTTCGTTATGTTTCTGCGGAATACGACTGTTATGAAAATTTTCGACGACAATACCAACGAACATATTAATACTGTAAAAACTGACAACTAAAAGAAATGATATAAAATAAATTAATTTTGTTTCGCTATGATGCTTTATTGGTTGCATGTCAACTTCAACTGCATCGACACCCATGTACATTATTGGTACCCAATCATCTTTTGATGCAAGAGCTAATAACGTTAATAAAGCCTTATATAACAATAAACAATTGTATTAAAAGGATTTTATTGACAAAAGCTTATTTGATAACATACTTGACCCAAATTATCAAAATTATATTTTTGATTTCGCCATCGATGATTAGACATAGCTTCACATTGATGTCTTGTTGTTACATTATGAGCTAGAGAACCTTCACAATAGTAGAACTTCCCTTTGAAAAGCTGAAAAAAAGCGTTTAAGAGTAAATAATGAGATCAATAAACTGTGAAAATTGATAAAAATAGTGTTGCATCGGAAACTCTATCAATATTTTCTTATAGATCTAGAAAAGAGTAACGTTGTTGAGTAGTGTTTCACACATAGTAGAGTGCAAGTATTCTTTTATAATTTTTAATACTGAAAAGATCTCTTCGCTAGATACTATAGTTAATAATGATGATGAATAGATCTTTAACAATGCTTTGATATTTTGATAAAATACTTCATTACACTTATTCAGTGATACAATCGCGGTTTTTGAAATTCCAATCAGTTTCCGTTCTATAAGTATCAAAAGTTGATTGAATTCAAAATAAAGTATGCGTTGTCTTTTAAGATTATAAATTAAGAAAGGATTGATGAACTCATAAATAGTATGAATATGTTTTAGAATCTACTCGTGAAACTTTGGCAGGAAAATACACTATAAAATTGTCTCTAAAACAGAATTGAATAGAATAATTGACTAATCATCTACTGAAAAAACTGAAAACGTTTGACTATGTTTAATATATTGAAGATAAGTGTCAAACTTTATTCCGAGAAAGTACACAGATCATTTTTTTAAAAGTATTGTATAAACAACTTTTCTCTCTTTTATTACCTGAACACCGAGAATGCCAAAGATGATAAAAAATATGCTAAGAATAATAAAAACATTGCCGATTGGTTTAAATGATGAAAATAAAATTGGACCAACGATTTTAAGACCAGGTGCTCGATTAATAACTAAAATGATAAAATTAGATAATCAATCAAAAGAAAATAAAAACCATCTCTTGCCAACCTCGAAGTGGTCTTAATGCTCGTAATAAACGAAAGACTGTCACTATGCCGACAATATCTGATGTTGTATTAGACTGTGGAGATGATGTAATTGTATATCGATGCATAATACCAAGATCAATAATTGAAATAATTACAAGAAATCCATCCACAGCATTCCAACCTGAACGTAAGTATGTATCTGATCCAAAAAAAAGCCCACTTGCAGTTATTTTAATCATCATTTCAATGGTAAAAATAATTGTAAATATATAATTAGTATAGTTTAAAAATTGTCGTTCCTAAAAAATAATTCTAATTGTTAGTTTTTAACTACAGTCAAAACTAGAAACTCAATGATTCCATACAAAACTTGTAGATGAAATCGATGGACGTTCCATCGCGAGTGTAATACAATTGAGAACGATAAAACAAAGAATAAAATAATCAAATGATTTTTGTAGAATTAATTGTTGAAATACTTTGCGTAGTCTAACAAATGACACAAAAAAAATACAAATTGTTTATATTCGAATTATTGTCTGAGCAAAATTTTACTTATTCGAAGGTGAAAAAAGATAAAGTGAATAATTTTCTCGTCTCTTGAACCGTCGAAATATTCGTTGTCCACAATATTGACTCAAACATGATTCAACGGCCTAAAATAAAAATCGTTTTTCGGCGTTAACATACAGTTCAGATATGAATCGATTCGAGTTTTTTCTTTTAATTGCTGGCATTTCCTACAAGCTATCTGATGATATTGACTGATAGAGGAAATAATAACAGATTAAATTGTTTATAAGTGATTATTAAAATCGAAATGAATTTGAAATACAAATCAATATTTACTCCTAATTTCTCAGTTTTTGATTCAAGTTGTGTATTCACTTCAGCTGAAACATCTATTATCGGTGATTGAGTACCAATAGCAAGTTGTTCTGTACCATTAGTATTAGAATTTGTATGTCCATCTTTGTTTTCTTGTCTGCTGGGATTTTGATTACATGAATATTGTGAATTATCGACTGATGATCGACATGTCACAATTGAATTTAAATCTGTATTTGTTATAATATTCGATTCTGGTTCAGTTAAATTCTTTGCATGATCATCAAAGTATTGTTTGGATGATATTGGAATTGATCGATCAGAATGTGTATGACGTAGCGTATCAGCTAATATATCTTGTTGTTGATCATGTTTCTTATCATCATTGTCATTATCACTATTTGCTGTTCCATTTTCTTTCTATATATAATAAAATAATTAGAAAATATTTAAAAGAATAGTGTAATTTACTTCATTTACAAAACTTTCAACAAGAATAGCGACAAGCAAATTAAGTAATACATAATTACCAAATATGATGAGTGCAATAAAATATAATACTGACCATGCACCTGTTTTGTTCATTACATTATAAAGAACTAAAGTCCAATCTTTTTGTATTAATATCTATATTATACCATATAAATTAGAATTCTTCAAAAAGATAAATCGAATGAGTGATATACAGAGCATGTTGAAAAATGCCTTAGGAAAGTTGAAGCAATATCTCTTATACAACTTTAGTAATATAATTGTTTTTTTTTAATTGTATTATAACAATCTTTCAAAGCTGTTGGGAAACTGGTATGATAGAAAATCAAGTAAGTTCAGAAAGACCCTCACATATTATAAACGATAGCAAATTGAATCGCTTGAGTTGTATAAAAGATATATATTTCAATCGTTCTAACAGATTGTTAGAATATTTTATTTGCAAGAATGAGCAAGAAAATTCTTTTGATTAATACTGCATCATACCTGAAATACAGTTAATAACGCAGAACGAAGCGAATCGAAAGTTGTTCCCTCTTGTATACATTTTAAATCTTTCAGATCAGTAGAAGTTTTTAATAAATCCCATTCGGCACATGAACAAGAACGACATTTCATGTCAAATCGTTTTTGTGATGTTGCACTGAATGCGTCATTCGTACAAAATCCACCACCGAATAAATGCACACCAATAATACTAAGTACAGAAGAGAAAAAATAAACGTGCGAAATAGAGTGTATATACGTGTATGATGACAAAAAGAATTGTTATATACCTACCATTTGTTTTCAGCAGCTTTTTTCTGTGCTCTAATTATGACAGAATCTCTCAAAAGTCAATCCACTAGTTTTTAACTCATATTCAGCGCTTATAGAATGTCCCTCTAGACTAGAATAACCTTAAAAGGATTTAGATTGATATAATTTCTAGCCTGATTCAGTGACTTTTCAGTTAGCTTCATAATACAGAATGAAAGAGCAATAGTTAATATTATATCTCATCGATAATATGCTCATCACTACATTGAATAACATCTTGTTCTAAAAAAATTACAAAATTAGTGATACATTAACATATTAACGGTTTTCATGCTATCGTTGCGTTTGCCAATGGAAAATATGAGCGACCATGGGTGAATAAACGATCTTATTCTCGTATATTTAAAAGATCTATCCTTTATCAGATATCAAAAGCGAATTGTTCTTTTTTAATGCCAAATATAGTCTTGTTCAGGATAACTCTCTATTTGAATAGCTAAAAACTGGAGATATTATGTGTTTCACCAATTCTTTCGACCAGACTATCTATTTTCTAATATTATTGTTTTAGTCAAAGAAATTTCGATGTATACTCCAACATTAAAGAATGAACTTTGACAACTCAATATCTCAGCTTGGAAAGATAATGAGTTCAAATCCTTTAGGATTATTTTGTGGCTTCCTTCTTTCTTATTTACTGATATCACTAATCGAATTCGTACTATTCATTACAGTCGCTAAGTCGGAGCACCTGAGACCATGGAAGAAGAATTAGCCAATCTTTATTTTCTGTAGATACTTACCTAAATATGAGTATGCAGAGAAGTAATAATAAAAAGAAGATTGCAACACTGTCCGCTGTTTTAACCGTGATAATCTAGATAACAAACGACAAAATACAGAAATAAACATGTAAATATTTAGCGACTGTATCAAGATTCATATTTTAATCATTCATGATATATACTCAAATATTTTTTATTTTGACTGTTAAAGTGTATCTACGATTATATTTACTCCATCATTTTAATACTTATCCTGATGAGAGATTTCTATCATTCTATTTATGAAATCTAGAATTTCTACTGCTACTCATTAGAGACAACAATAAGACTATTTTTGTCGCTTTTTCACCAATTATTCATGTTGAATAACTAATCAAAGATTTTTGCTTCCTATTCTTAGAATTTCACACAAAAATTCTTTTGCACTTGATTCTTTTTATACCTTATCGTACTCTGCATTTTGTTAAGCTTTGATTTCATATCACATCTTATAGATATTCCGATGAATGCTCACGAATATGAGATATATGTGTACATGTGTCTCCCGTAGACTTGACAATTGCATATTTAACCTGATGTAATCACCTTCGGTACGCACAGACTCTAGTCAAATATCAGATGGAACTTTGCCCAGATACAGAGATCAGAAGTGCTCCTGAGAGTTAATTTTGTGATAGATGTTTTGAAACTTCATACAATAACAAAAAAATTTAAAAAAGACTGAAGAAAAATTGAGCGAATATAAATAAAGTCACTTATCCTTGTTGCTATTTTTCAATCTGGAGTCCGTCCAGATTCCAGGTGGAAACTAGACAACTATTTTGTAGGTAATGATATAAGGATTAAGTCTATGACACTTGACGTTTCTTAAGAGTAAAAAAGAATCAAGCCTTTGTTTTTTTTTCATGTACAGCGTACTATAAGCAGATACCATAATCAATTCAATCAGCGAAAACTAACTTTAAAAAGAAATGGACTAAACCCCTCCCCATATTAGAAGCCCCCGGGGGGCTTCTAATATGTCTATCATATGAAGCTTCTGGAGGGGGCTTCTATTAAGTCTCAAAAAAAATTCGTAAACTGCCAGGAAAAAGGGTTCGCAAGGGTTTTTAGCGACTTTCAAGGTTTTTATGAGTTTTCCAGAAGATTTTTGACATTATTTTCAGATGTTAGCTAAGCTTGATAAGAGTCAGCCAACTTTTTACCTGAAAATCGAAAAAATTTTAGCAGTTTTAGCATGAAAATGCGAAAAAAAATCTTGAA